CAAAAAACAAGTTTATTAGAAGAGTTATTTGCGTCGCTCCTTTATAAAGGAGCGACGCAAATGACTCTTATTTGCGTCGCGCCTAGGAGCGACGCATATGACTTTTAAGTCATTTAAGTCGCGAGCAGTTGCGTCGCTCATAGAAGCGACGCAAATACACTATAAATGAGCGACGCAAATAAGCCTTTTTCTACTAGTGATTTAATGACGTTTGGAACCATAGATAACCATTATATGTTTTCATAAATGTCCGTGATAGGCTTGAGTTCAAGAAATCGGTGAATGTTTAGAACAGGCTAATTGAGCGTTTTAAGACAAATTAGATGGTTCCACCCACCCAATTGGACTCCTGGAGGGTATTGGGGACTATGGTAAACTTCTCGACAATTTTTATTTCCAAGAAAATAAAGGTCAAAAAATTTCAAAATTATTGAAGGTTATTATCCACATTTTTTAAGGAATTTTTGACGTTACGGGGTCCAGTGGCGAAAAGTCTTGAGACCCTAAAGGATACAGTTTAGGTTAATATAATGACGTTTGGAGCCATATATAACCATTAGATTTTGTTATAAATGTCCGTGGTAGGCTTGAGTTTACGAAATCGGTGCAAGTTTCGAATAGACAAATTGAGTGTTATAAGGCAAATTAGATGGTTCCACCCACCCAATTTGACTTCCGTAGGGTATTATGTACCATGGTAAACATCTCGGAAATTTTTCTTTATGGGAAAAAAAAAGGTCAAAAAATTCCAAAATTGAAGGCTATTATCCATGTTTTTTGAGGAATTTTTGACGTTACGGGTTCTGGTGGAGAAAAATCTTGAGACCCTAGGGGATGCATTTTAGGGTCATATAATGACGTTTGGAATCATATATGTCCATTATATGTAGTCATAAATGTCCGTTGTAGGCTTGAGTTCACGAATTCGGTGCAAATTTTAAACAGGCAAATTGAGTGTTTTTAGGCAAATTAGATGGTTTCACCCACTCAATTGGACTCCTGGAGGGTATTAGGTATCATGGTAAACATCTCGAAAAATTTTATTTTCGGGCAAAAAATGGTCAAAATATTTCAAAATTGAAGACTATTATCCACGCTTTTTGAGGAATTTTTGACGTTATGTGGTCCAGTGGAGAAAAGTCTTGAAACCATAAAGGATACATTTTAGGGTTTTAATGACGTTTGGAACCATAGATAACCATTATATGTTTTCATAAATGTCCGCGATAGGCTTGAGTTCACGAAATCGGTGAGTGTTTAAAACAGGCTAATTGAGCGTTTTAAGGAAAATTAGAAGGTTCCACCCACCCAATTGGACTCCTGGAGGGTATTGGGGACTATGGTAAATTTATCGGCAATTTTTATATCCGAGCAAATAAAGGTCAAGCATTTACAAAATTGAAGGCTATTATCCACGCATTTTAAGTAATTTTTTGACGTTACGGGGTTCGGTGGAGAAAGTCTTGAGACCCTAAAGGATATTTTTTAGGGTAATATAATGACGTTTGGATCCATATATAACCATTATATGTTGTTAAAAATTTTTGTGGTAGACTTGAGTTTACGAAATAGGTGCAAGTTTCGAATGGACAAATTGAGTGTTATAAGGCAAATTAGATGGTTTCATGATAACTTGCTATTTGATATGATTTTAGGGTGTTTTGAACCTAGTTTACTTGATAAAATTTGCGTTTTGGTTCATTTTTACTGTATTATTATGCAATTTTTGTGTATCCTATGCTTCACGGGTTGTTGGTGTTTTTGTTGAGAATTATAGGTTCAAAAAAACGACCAAATGGAGCCCATGGATACAAAGCCGAGTTAGAAGCAAGAAGATGGTTAAAAGAAGCCAAGGAAAGGAGCAATATAGAAGAAAAGATGGAAAAAAGAGCTTAAAAGACCCTGCACGGCCGTGCCAGACCTTGCACGTCCGTGCAGGAGGTTCCAGAAAGTTTCAACAAGCTGCCAAGGCCTGCACGGCCGTGCTTAATTTTGTACATTATGGAAAATCCCACTCTTATATTCCTAGCTAGAAAATGCAGTCTTATTAAAAGGTTTTTATCTAACATATCTTTAGTCGTAAGGAGGATGTTTATTTGATTCATATGATTTTATTTGAAAATTTTGTACTTTATAACTTTAACAACCCCATATTATTTTTGAACCAATAATGAAACAATCTCATAACAAAACATAAGATCCACATGAAATTTAGCCATAACATTTACATATATATGTCAATATCGATCTTAGGATCATTTGAAACTGGAAAGAAAAGCTCTAACCAGCTATATCCCTCAGCTCAATTCTCGCCCATCCCTCATATAAGTTATATCCTTGCATTGGTTTGAAAAAATGTGGACCTTCCAAGTTACAAGTATTGATATTCATATGGGACCAAATGAGATGATAACAATATACCTATCTATCATCAACATTAATGATAAGAGAGAATATATGCAAAAGTAAATAATAAGGCTAGGTAGACAATTTAAAGTGGAGAATATATGCAAAAATAGTGCGTGAATTTCTAAAGTAGAGATCGAATTCAAATACACTACGGTTATGAAGAAGCTAATAGGAGTACAACAAGTATGTATAAGGTAAGGATTTGTGTATAAATATGCAAAGGATGGTAGGTAATTGGCGCAGTGCAACACACAAGCTTCTGATCTCTAGCATACAAATAACCAACAATCCGAACTTCCGATCAAGGTAAATGTCATGTATATCATATACATAGAAGAGTCTTTCATATATATAGTATGCATTTATATTTGTTATCAAATATATTAAAGCAAGTCATCTATATATATATATATATCGGGTTAAACTGAATTACTAATTTGCAGTTAAAATTTGTTATAGGTACTGAAGGAAAAAAATGGCCTCAAGCACAAGAAACAGTTGTGATGAATGCACAAGACAAAGAGATTGTGGAGAAGATGGTAGAGGTGGCGAAAAACATTGGGATGAAACAGAACAATGGTGCAGCGGCCAATAGTCAACAACAAAACAGTGCAGTCGTCTCGATGATGAACTCCACCCCTGGAAGGGTTAATTTTTCAATGAATCAGGATTGGCATGGGGAAGTGATGACTGGTGAATATCCTTCGGTCATTGATGTCAGCAAAGGCGACAGCTTTACTCATTCGGCGACAGATAACGATGGATCCAAGGGAGCCGTAGTGTACTTGGGCAACAACAGTACTGCTAAAAGTTGTGCATGGCTATTGGCTTGGTCTGCTCCCAAATTTCCCACCACCAACAATCCTAACAAGGTTTACGTCAAATGTGGCGATGCCACTGATTTCCAGAATATTAATTGGAACCAAATCGAAGCTTCTCTCGACGTATCATCCACTTTCTCGAGCTTCATGGAACCAATTACCAAGACCACCTGCAGTGCTAACATCCTCCCTGGCAAAAACTTCGCATCTGTTGGTGCTAATTTTGGAACTATGTAATTCTACGTACTTTCGTTCGTAATTAGTATGCATGGCTCACTCATCATAATTAACATGCATGCATGTATGTACGTGCTTTAATTATTTGTTAGTTAGTTTCTTTCCTAGCTAGCTAACTAGCTACGTACCATGCATGCACATCTATGTTATATCTATTTACTACTTCAATAATAATGAGCCCTACGTTATTATTAGTTTCATGCTTTTATCCCTAATTTTATTTTCTCTTTACTATACTTAGGGCCTGTTCTCATTTACCGAACTCAGCTGAACTGAACTGAACTGAACTGAACTGAACTGAAATGAATATTTTATAAGAGAAGGAAATTAGGAGCTGAACTGAACTGAACTGAATTGAATTGAATTGAATTTCAACGTAAGAGAACAGACCCTTAGCCTCTAATTTTACCTTTGTCCATCATTTTGGCTAGACATGCATTATTACACTTGGAACTTTTACTCATTACTACGGTTATTGCTTGCACTTTGATTTTCTATTCAAGGTGCGTGTCACTCTTTGCTCTAAAGTGTGGGATGAGCTCAGTAATGCATATATGATGAATTTAGAGAACTCCTCTAGCAGCTAGGTAGGCTATCATTAAGGCAAGGGTCGCAGGACCAAGTGCGTGAAGCTAATCAAGTTGCTAGGATGACTAGATAGAAGCCGGAGATATCAATGGCCTTTTGTATTAGGCCTATGTTGTAACCCTTATAGAAATACATATAACAAAGAAAAAATTGACACTATGAATCTTTACCTTACTAAAATTATACTTCAATCATTGATTAGACCGAGTATAAAATACAGGGGACATAATTTGAAACAGGATTCTCCCCAATTCTTTCCTTCAATTCTCATCTTCAAACACAACATCTCATTTAGGAAAAAAAAATTCCAAACACCCCGTATAATTTTCTTCATCCTTAAATTTAATGTCGTATTGAGAGTAAAAATTATTCCGATAATTAAAAGAAACCGAAGAGGAACCAGATGGTGTTCAATATCATGTCGTCGCACCATTATCCTTAATAAGAGAAACTGTGGCAAGACAATTACTAACCAATTCAGTCAATTTATTTCCATAACCAACCAAGGGAGACGTACCACCACTTTCTTGTACACCATCATCACACGTACCAAAATCCGAAATCGTGGCGCTTAACATACTATTAATAGTACCAATATCTTTGGATTCAAGTGCTTTTACAACCTTATCTAAATTATCCAAAGCATTATCGTACATCTCCTTGCAATCTCTAAGGACATCCATATCATTATCGGTTTGCCCTAATTTTTTAGTACTCAAGGCTAGGGCAAGTTGCGTGGCTTGTTGCGTCGCTTTAACTTGCATCCCAAGTAAAGAGAACGTGTCCGTTTTTTTAACACCATTATGTTATTATGCATTAGGAATGGCTTTAAGGAGGAAATGCAAAGGTCAGGATTATCCGTGGCATCACAAGTTTTCTTTACGTCCGGGTTATTAGCCGCCGTGTTGGTGGTGGTTAATGATTCTTCTTGTTGATCATGGTTGAGGTCAAAGGGGTTGAAGGTGATGGGGAGATCAATTGGATCCCCATCGGCGTCTTGCATGGCGATTGGGGCGGAACTTGGTGAGAGAACGTACGAGGGATCATTATAAGGGGCCGCGGCAATGGATGGTGACGGTGATGGAGGGATAACAAAGGCGGTTGTTTCTAATGATGTTGGTGGTGAACTTGGAGATATTGTTTCGGATAAAGATCTACATTGAACTTGATAGATGAAAGCAAATAAGAGGGACAAAATTGATAAGATGAATATTGGTTGCATTATTATTAAAGGTGATAAAAGTTTATTAGGTTACTTTTCAAGCAATTTAATTAGGAAAAGTTGGTGAGATATTTAAGGTATCAACAAAAAAAAAAAATTATATATTTTTTTTATTATGTTAAACGGTTTAGAAAGCTAAGGTAGTAGTTTGAAAGTTTTAATGTGTTGTTCTAATTTAGATTAATGGTTAAAATGATGAGGTTTATTTTTAATCGTGATCATTAAATTGGATAGGTGGTAGGAACTAAAAATATCTGTCCTATACCAAAAGTGGTGAAAATCAAACACAATATTTGCGCCCCGTCAATTTTGTTGTCATCGTGAACTGTAATAATGCAATCCTATCCTACCTTACGGAGTAATAAAAGTCTTACCATGCACCAACAATTTTTGGCGTAAAAATTTTGTTGCCAATGATATATAATTTGCTTTTATTTTAATTGTTTTACTATTACAACTCAATGTAAGGAGAAGAAATTTGACTAGATTATAAATCTAACAAGAGCGCCAACTAGAAGTGTGTCAAATTATTTTAGCAAAGTTAGTAACAATAAACTTTTATTAGTATTTATAAATAAAAAGAATAAAATCAATGAAAGGGAACCAAACAGAGAAAATAAAAATAGAATATAATTACTTCTCAGCTAATTTCCAGCCTTGGTCTAAGGGTACAAAAATAAAATACTACAATCGTACATACAAGATTTATAAAAAAAGATTCATGGAACACAAACAGTTATAATTATTGTTGGTTCATGCAAAAAAGTGAATAATATATATATATATATATAGGGGAGGGATCCGGTGAGAATAGGTTCATATGTGAGAATTCATACTTATATGAGAACTGATCTACAATTTAGAACACGTGAGTAAAAATTTAGAACATACGAGTAAAAATTTAGAACATGCGACTAAAATTTAAATTTAGAACATATGAATAATAATTTAGAACATATGACTAATAATTTTGAACATGTGTGTGAGCAATAATATAGAACATCTAATTCAAGAATTAGAACATGTGAATAAAATTTTAAAAAATTGCTTTATGAAATTTAGAACATGTGAATAAAAATTTTAGAACACTTGGTATAAAATATAAAATGGGAGTAAAAATATTGAACATATAATTTAAAATATAGAACATGTGAGTAAAAATTGGAACATATGCTTTCGAATTTTGAACATATAACTAAAAATCTTAAAACACATGCACGTTTTAAAATTTAGAACATAAAAGTTAAAATTTCGGAATAAGTCATTCGAAATTTATAACATCTAACTTAACTAATTTATGGTTTAGAACATGTGAGTATTAATTTAGAACATCTTATTTTAATTTAGAACACCAGGGAAAAAGTTTAGAGTATCAGATTTAAAATTTAGAACATACGAGTAAAAATTTAGAACATAAAAAGTGTTCTCACATAAGGAAAATTCTCATATAAGAAAAATTCTCACGAGATTTAATAGGGAATAATAGTGGATATGAGGTATTAATAAGAAAATCAATGGAGATCGGATCAATGACTTCAAAAATTTTATTGTGAAGATCGGATCTGTGTTTAACCATATTCAAATAGCTAAATCAATCATTGTGTCTTTCATAACCATTAAACGTGTGAAACGTGTCTTTAATTACGGTCCAACGTAATAACAAGCAATCAGCACGCAGCATTCTTCAAACTTGTATTTGGAGTTGAAATAATAATAAGGTTTGGCTTTCCAACCAAACCTGTGAGGAATAGCTATTGATCGAGCTTTACAAATAAATATATTTTAAAATAAACTTGTTGACATGTTATCATTATATCTATACGAAGGAGAGTAATTTCTAGCTTAGGGCTAAAACAAACATGGTAAGAAGTGTCAAATACTGATCCAATCAATTCAAATCTACCTGAATAAAGCCTATATGATTCCAAACGACATTATATGAGCCCGAGATATATCCCCTAAAATCTCAAGCCTTTTCGACACCGAATCCCGAAACCTCCAAAATTTCTCAAAAAGCATGGATATTAGCCTTCAATTTTGAAATTTTTTAACTTATTTTCGCACGAAAAATTAAAATTGCAGAAATGTTTACCGTGGTCCCTAATACTCTCCGGTAGTCCAATTGGGTGGGTGAAACCATCCAATTTGCCTTTAAACGACCAATTTACCGGTTTACAACTTGCACCGATTTCATTAACTCAGGCATACCATGAACATTTATTACAACAAATAATGATTATATATGGTTCCAAACAACATTATATGACCCGAGATATGTCCCTAGAATTTCTAGACTTTTCGACACCGGGTCTCGAAACCTCTAAAATTTCTCAAAAAAACGTGGATATTAGTCTTCAATTTTGGAATTTTTTGACTTTTTTCGCCCGGAAATAAAAAATTCCGAAAAGTTTACCATAGTCTCTAATACCCTCCGGGAGTCCAATTGGGTGGGTAGAACCATCCAATTTACCTTTAAACGACCAATTTAACGGTTTACAACTTGCACCAATTTTATTAATTAATTCAAGCCTACCACAAACATTTATGACAACAAAATAATGATCATATTTGGTTCCAAATGGCATTATATGACCCTGAAATGTATCTCATATAATTTCAAAACTTTTCAATACCGGGCCCCGAAACCTCCAAAATTTCTCAAAAAGCGTGGATATTAGCCTTCAATTTTGGAATTTTTTGACTTTTTTTCGCCAGGAAATAAAAATTGTCGAAATATTTTCCATGGTCCCTAATATCCTCCGGGAGTCTAATTGGGTGTGTTAAACCATTCAATTTGCTTTTAAACGGACAATTTGTCGGTTTATAACTTGTATAGATTTCATTAACTCAAGCCTACTACGAACATTTATGACAATATATAATGATCATATATGGTTCCAAACGGCATTATATGACCCCGAGATGTATCCCCTAAAATCTTAAGCATTTTCGACATGCATCGAGCTTGAAATCTCCAAAATTGGCCGTTTAAAGGCAAATTGGATGGTTCCACCAACCCAATTGGACTCCCGGAAGATATTAGGGACCATGATAAAATTTTTGGCATTTTTTTTTTCCGGGCGAAAAAAGTAAAAAAAAATTCCAAAATTGAAGACTAATATCCACGCTTTTTGAGAAATTTTAGAGGTTTTGGGGCCCGGCGTCGAAAAGTCATGAAATTCTAGGGGAT